AAGAAAAGGGGATTGCAATGAGCTCCAAAATGATATTTCCAAACTGTGTGAATGGGCAGTACAGTGATACCTCAGGTTAAGGACTTAATTTGTTCCGGAGGTCCGTTCTTAACCTGAAACTGTTCTTAACCTGAAGCACCACTTTAGCTAATGGGGCCTCCGGAGCACGATTTCTGTTCTCATCCTGAAGCAAAATTCTTAACCTGAAGCACGATTTCTGGGTTAGTGGAGTCTGCAACCTGAAGCGTATGTAACCCGAGGTACCACTGTAAAAGGACAAATTTCACGTTAAGAGTTATTGGGAAAGGGATTGATCCAGCAAGGCTCTCCTTATGTTCTTACTATTATATAACCTTTATCTAAGCTACATCCCCTCTCCTCAAGCTGCACACTTAACTGCTGGGATAGCTCAGTCAGTAGAACATGAGACTCTTAAATCTCAGGGTCGTGGGTTTGAGCCCAGTGTTGGGCAAAAGATTCCTGCATTGAAGAGAGCTGGACTAGATGATGCTCATGGGCCATTCCAACTCTACAATTCTATGGTTCACACCACACTGTTCCTGCCCTGAAACCTCAAGTGATCCTCCTAAGATGGGATGTATACTTGAACTGCATTAATGCCTCTGCTTGCCTAGGTGTAAGACCGAGAATTGAGGAGGGGTGGTGGTGTATGTGCATGCAGAAATCTCTGACTTTCGCATGCTGGAAAATAGCCTACTATTACAAAGGTAAGAGTCACACCTGTTGTTATGCCCACTTTGCCTCTGGCCACGCCCACCACTTGTATGTGGCCCCTGAAAGGCTGCCCAGGATGGAATGTGCCTTTTGGGCTGAAAGAGGTTCCCCACCCCTGAGATAAACAATGGAAGATGTGAGCTATTTCATTCATTCATTTGCATCTCTTGATTGCTCACCATCTGATACAGCTGAGCAGTTCCATGGAAAGGCAAGGCATTGATTGAATGGAATACTACAGTTCTATCTGTGGTCTTCAACAATGACACAAACAAGTCCTTGCTTGACGCTGCTGCAGCCACCAAGGGACGGATGTGTATATGCAAAGCAGCTCTAAGTCTTGCAATCCTTTGCTCACTTATGTGGGACCACATTACTCTGAACACAGCAGTGTTTAGTTCAGAGTAAGCCTGCACAGGATTGGGTTGAGATTAAAGTGTCGTGCTCTGCAGACTGAGCTATCCTATGAGTCTATGAATTGCGTTTCACTGTTTATAAGTTCGTCCTTGTTTCCTGGATTTAGAAAGTGTGCCTGAACATTTTGGCTCTTTATGTGCTTATGAGCATGTATCTACACCCACACACACCATGTTTATAAACAACTGCGTGCAGGTTCACATGGTTGCCTGTGTGCATGCACCCAGTTGCCATGATCCTTCTGCATCAAAGATTACAAGGATCAGATGTATATTACCCAGTGTACAAACGATGACATACATAAAATGGCAAGCTCCTGGCAATTCTCTTTTACTAGCATACTTGATCTTTGTACAGAGAAGAATAATCTTGGTTCAGACGCTCAGCTCAGTATGGGGTTTTTCCTTACCAAACCCAAGTTTTACAAAGGATTCCCAACAATGGAGTTCCATACGGGTTCAACGGCAATGTCTAAAGCAGAGGCGCAGAACGCTTGTCAGCCCAAGAGCCACATACTATCATAGGCAACCTTCTGGGGGGCCACATTCAAGTGACGCGCAGGACCAGAGGCAAAAGTGGGCATGCCTCTAACTTTTTGTATAGTGCATACACCCACACCGATCTTGCTGCCATTGATCCAAGCCAGCATCATCGCAGTTAAAGGAAACATTCTACCTAGGCAATACAGAGCAGGGTTACTGAAGGATCTGGCCTGGAGATAAGAGGTGTGACCTCAGAAAAGCCCTGAAGAGGCCTGGGGGTGGCGATTTGACACCCCCAGCCCAGATCTACTTAGAAGTGGCACCTCTTTAGCCTTTTATCTCCCAGCAGCCGCACCTTGCAGACTATTCACAAGACTCTTCCAAAACCATCATTTTATCATCAGCAGTCTTACTTTGTGGTCATTTAGACAATCATGAAATCTTAAGCAAAAGAGCCCATTAACACAACAACAAAGATGAGTCAGATTATCATTTCATATTCAAAGGGTGTGTCCCTTCCAATTCCCAGGGAGTCCCTTCTTATTTTACATGTGAGCTGCAGAGTAGAGGGCAGTGGGGGGAGCCTGGGGCTGCGTTTAAAGCTCTTGGCTGTTCTGAACTTCTGTTTGGATTTGGTCTGGATTCACAGAGTTGCAATCTGTACATGCGGTGGTTTCACAGATGCATGTGACACAGGCTAAAAACAGATACAGCAAAACTGGTGCCTATAATTATATATTTTAAATAGACAACTTGCCCCTGAGAGTGTTCTACTCAAACCCAGCCAGTTTATTCTGACCCATAGCACACAAAGAGAAATCCCCATTGGAGGACCACATCCCATTAAAAAGGCTCAGCCAACCGCAATCCGAAAAGTGACAACTTCCATTTAATTTGCATAAACCCATCCACATGTGCTCACCAAAAGAGCACGGGCTGGCAACCCAGGCTAGCTCATTAGAAAGAACAGCAAATGAGGATTTACTAGAGAACCTTTCTTGGGGTCATTAAGATCACAACCCACTTACTGCAGAGTTCTCCCACTGGTCTAAATAGGATCCCTCTAAAGTAAAGGGTTTGGGGACTGCAGCCTGAAAAAGAAATGAAACCCCACAAGCAATCCTACAAAAACTGGCTCTTTGGAGAAGCTTAAATACTGCCTCTGTGTGTCTCCTTTCCCACCAGGACTTCTCCATTTACAGCAGCACCAGCAATGTTGCAGTTATTCAAAGGTGGTTTAAGCCCCTTCATCTGTTATACGTTGCAGTCTGTGGCCTGCGGCAGTTCAGGTTCCCAAGTCTGAACTAGCCTCACGGCAAAATGCAGGCAAACACTGCTAAAGCAAAGAAATAAAGATGGACATCGTGGCATTCCTGTTCAGGCAGCAGCAAAGACAACAAAACAAGATTGGGAGGTGAAGCAAGGAGTTCTAAGTCGCCACAGCGAATATCTCTGAGCCAGCTCCCAAGTGCATTTACAAGATGACACTAATTGAGATTAATTAATCCACAATTAACAACACCACATAATCAATCATCACAGTTGCAACTACAACTGAGAACCACCTTTTTATAGCTAGTTCTGAAGACTTCTTGATACAGAGCTGTTTTCCATAAGAACACTTTGTCCATACAGTACTTCCATAGTAAAAGAAAAGAAATTATTACTCTTTCAGCACATGCATATGGAATTATTTTCACAATCCTAAATTAGTCACAAAGGTCTTTATTCTAGGTTAAATTACCCCATAGCAGCACCATACCCCCTCCCTGTTTTACTTGATTTTTAAAGAGCTAGACAAGTACCCCACCCCTACTGTGAACTGGGTACCAAAACATGTACATTAAAGTATAATTAGGGGCCCATACACAAGATTCTGTAACCTCCAGGCTCTAAGCACTTGTACACAGTAAAATGATGCAATTTCCTCATCTTTTAAAAATCCATACTCATTGGGTGAAGGTTTCAGTTGATGCTTGCAATACACGTTGGCTGTTGCAAGCATGGAACCCAAAGGCCTCTATTTGCTACTCAGTGGTTAATCTGCCTTTTGAACATGCCATGGTTTGCCATGCATCTTGGTCCTATGCATTCAAGCACCACTCACTCCCAAGTTAGTGTGCATACGGTTGCAGCCTTAAAGTGAATCTATGAGTGCTCTCTTTGCAGGGAAAGGGCTGAAGACAGCCGATGGCCCAAACCTTTGGCCTTGGAAAAGTATTTCAGGGGGCTATCCTAGAAACACTCAGTAATAAGCAAAAGCACATATCTGAAGATCACTCAGCACTGACAGGTTACATGTTAAATTAATGGCTCTCACGATGTGGGACACCACCACCCTTGTTGAGTATGGATCACCTAGTCCTAGGGGGGATAGAAAGTTATAAGGAGGGACAGGATCCTGAGGAGGGACCCATCCTTCTCTCAGCATTCAAGACACACTGGTAGGGTGAATGTCCCTTAGAAGGGGACCATAACTGATTCACATTGGATTTGTGAGGATAGCAGTTCCTCCACTTGCTCCATCCATCCAACCCAATTAGCAAAGACCCACTAATTTGTTCCAATGTTTCCCTGCTTGCAGATCTGAGAGGCATCATAAATCTGCTTTTCAAACACCATCACCTTTTCAAATGCCAGAACCCCAATCAACAGGCCTTTAACAGCAGCTGGCTGCAGGCACACAAGAATGGCACACCAAGGATTGCTGTCCTGATGGTTGGTGCAAGGATGGGGGATCCCGGAAATTAAAATAAACTTTTTGGGGGGTGGAGATCAAAACACTTCAGAAGTGCTGCACTAAACCCTTCCTTTAACAGCTGTCTCATAGGTGTAACTAGAGGGTTCCTCAAAAGGTGCTTAAGTGGAGATTTAATATTTTTAAAGCCCAGTCTAATACTTCTGGGTGAAGGGGCAGCATCTTAAGCCAGGACAAGCACTGAAGAGATAGTAATAAATACTTCCAGGTGAGTTCAAGCGGGGTTGTTGTTTTTTTAAAAAAGATTAGCTCCATGTCTGAAGAGATGTCTGGCAAAATGTCCTCTCATGGGGGGCCAACCCACTGGGTCACTGCAATTTCCCACAATGCCCTGGAGTACCACTATTGGGGGGGCGGCATTGGGGGAAATGGCTCCTGCCTGCCGCAGGTGTCTGCCCAAACAGACCCTACAGGGTGGCACATGGATGCCACAGGAACTGCCCAGGATGCCAGGCCTGGGCTGCTATGCCCTTGCATTGCCAATGCCAGCCACTTGGCCTCACCATCCCACAGGTTCCTCCTGGCTTCCCGGAGGCCACGAGGAAGTGTCCCTCTCCCAAGTGTTCCCCAAGCCCCTTCTCCCTCTCCCTGCCAGCCAAGCGACTCACCCATGTTGACGAAGCTCATGACCATGTCGGCCTCGGTGAGGAAGTTGCTGTCCTGCAGGCTGGCCAGGGGCGGCCCCTGGGTGCTGAAGATGGGCTTGTAAGGGTAGGAGTAGCCCTCTCCGCCGTCGCTGCCTCCGGCGCCCTCCTCCTCCACCGACATGGCATTGTAGAGGTCCAGCATGAACATGGGCGCCGAGTTGTGCTTGCCGTGCAGATGGGGCCTCGGCCGGTGGGGCAAGCCCAGGATGGAGAGGATCTCCCGCTGCATCTCCCGGCGCTCCTGGCTGCGGAGCCTCCGGTGGATGAAGCTCGAGTGCACCTCGTTCTCCAGCGTGAAGTCGGCCAGGGCGCAGCGCAGCTCCACAGCCCAGGCGCCCAAGAGGAGCCACACCAGCAGCCGGGCGGCAGCCGCCTCCGCCGCCCGCCGCTTGAACCACCCCGCCGCGCGCATCTCCGTCACGGGGGGCAGAGCCAGGGAGCCGGCGGGCTGGGCAGCGGCGGCGGCGGCGGGAGAGGCGGCCGGCCGAAAGAGCCGCGCATTAAAAAGAAGGGGCAGCCGAGCGCGCCGCGGAGGGACCGATCACTTGGCCGGCGAGCTGCCCTGGAGAGCCCACCGAGAGGCGCGCATGATAGCCCGGGCGATCCCGGGAAGGAGGGAGGAGCGAGCGCGCTTACTTGCCGAGAGCCATACGCGGAGAGAGGGCAGGACCCCGGGCTCCGACCTGGCCGCTTCCCTCGGGGATGTGCTCGCTCGCTCGCCCGCCCGCCTCGCCACCAAGCGCAAGGCTTCTGAGCGGCGGCTTAGCCGAGCAGGCGGCAGCGGGAGTTCGCGCAAAGGGGCGGAGCTCGGCGCGTTGCACTCCCTCGCCCAACTGGGAGAAGTGTCCCAGGAAAAGCCAGCCTCGCCGGCTGCGCGGGTCCGCCGCTTGCTTCCCCCGCCGATCCAGGCTCTGTGCCCCCCAACAACGCTCGGACCCTGGGGGTGGGGTTAGGTTAGGAAATAAAGGTTTTTACGCACGCGGCGTGCGCATCGGCCTTCCACATCTGGCACCGGGAAAGCGAGGCACTTGTTTTACGCAGGCACGCGGCGCGTTTCCGCGGGAGCGAGCCCCCCCTTTGCTCGACGGGGCTCGCTCCCCCAGGTAGGATCTCACGTGGGCCGACGGGCCCCAAAGCGAGCGGCTGCGGCTCGGAGTGAAGTTGTTGCAGTTCCGGCAACAGCAACGCCCCGCCAAAGTTCTGGGACGGGGAATCAAACCGCAGCGTTTATTTCTAAAGTGTAGCTTCTAACCACCTTTTTTGGGGGAGGGATTGTGAAGTGGGAACTGTACTTCTGGTATACTGTTCTCCATGTATAGGGCTTAGCAAGGAGCTGCGCAGTTTAAAGCAAGCACAGCAAGCAGGTAAAAACAAAATAAAGCTCGATACTGCTTCCTCTCAATCGCCGCAGCTTTATGCTACAGTACTACGTAAGTAAGGGCGTTGCTAGGTCTTTAAAAGGACTCTCGGAACAGGCTCACGATGCAGATTTGCATAGACTTTGCAAATGCTAATGTCTATGAATGGATGCAAATTTAGATCTCTGAGCAAATTAAGACGGTGAGTGGCTCGCACTTCGCAGCATGATCACTGCCTTGAATGCAAAGTTGTTGTTTTCAAAAACTTTTTTCATGTTTAAGAAAGGGTGGCCAGGAAATCTAGGGCCCAGTGCAAAGGACTTGTCTTAAAATATTTGAACCTATCATTATTAAACACACACACACACACACCGTACTTTGCAGGGCACCTCCACGTTTCCTTCACAATACATATCAATTTGAAAGATTCACAGCAATTCATACAAAATGTTAAAAACCAGTTACCAAATAAAGAAGAAAGCCAAACAAAGTTCAGATTATAGATAAGAAAAAATAAAAACCCAGCCCACCAGTAGCAGATAACAGGAAGTCCATGTAACTGGACTTCCATTAGACTGCTGTTGCTTGGGGAATTACATGACTGAATGCTCCTCCACTTTTAAAATAATACCCCAAAACAGAAATTTAGACTTCAAGAAGATGGTTTCTAGTGTGTGTTTGTTTTTAACCTTTGATTATCTCTTTCCCGTTCCCATGGAGGAATAGGCAAGCACACAGTATCCCATCTGCAGTCCAGAAATAATTTTGCTATATTATTTCTTTATTTGTCCAGCCAATATCAATTTGATAGTAATCACTGAGATTTTCAGAAAATCTATGACTACAGCCTTTGTTGGAGCTAGAAAAAAAAAAGGATGATTCACACACTTGTTTTTACATTCTTCTTCTTTCTTTGGTGATCACTCGTAGCAGAGTAAGATTGTCTTTCATAAACACATTTTTAACAGTGACTGTGGAGGCCAATTATGGATCCACACATCCTTCCACAATGGGGACATTGGTTTCCGGACAGGAGTTGATCACAGTGTGGATTTGCCAAGCGTGCCTTTCTCTTAGCATGTTTCTCCCTTGCGACCTGCGTTTGAGTGTCTTCAAAGCCCATGACTCCTTTGGTAAAGGCTGTTCTCCAACTGGAGCGCTCGCAGGCCAGTGTTTCCCAGTTATCGGTGTTTATGCTACATTTTTTTAGATTTGCCTTGAGACAGTCTTTAAACCTCTTTTGTTGACCACCAGCGTTACGCTTTCCATTTTTAAGTTCAAAATAGAGTAGTTGCTTTGGAAGACAATAATCAGGCATCCACACAACATGACCAGCCCAACGAAGTTGATGTTGAAGAATCATTGCTTTGACACTGGTGATCTTTGCTTCTTCCAGTACACTGGTATTAGTTCACCTGTCTTCCCAAGTAAGCATATAGTAAGGTTGGTAGTACAATAGCTTTGTAAACAAGCATTTTGGTTTCCCTGTCCTGGTCCTCAAACACTCTGCACTTCAATCAGGAAAAAGCTGCACTCACAGAGCTCAGGCGATGCTGGATTTCGGCATCAGTGTTGGCCCTTGTGGAAAGATAACTGCCTAGGTAGGAGAAGTGATCTACATTTTCCAACGTTACACCATTGAGTTGAATTTGTGGCGCTGCGGAGGGGTTATTTTGTACTTGTTGGTACAGCACTTGGGTTTTTTGGATGTTGAATGATAGGCCAAGTTTTTCGTAAGCCTCTGCAGAGATATTTTGGATGGCTTGGAGGTCATCCTCTGAGCGTGTGCACACTACATTGTCCTCAGCATACTGAAGCTCTATGATGGAAGTTACGGTAACCTTACTCTTTGCTTTCAGCCTGCTCAGATTGAAGAGCATAGTGATGACTGCATGATGGAGCAGTTGTGAGCTATTCTTTTTCTCATAGCAACTGGTCTTCTCAATGCCCACTAAGTCATTGTGGTTCACCACGTCCTGGAGAATGTTCAGCATACAAGTCAGGGTGAACACATGAAGCTGCCTTATACTGAGTCAGACAATTGATCCACTGCCTACTCTGCCAGAGACTCTTCAAGGACTTGGTCTGCACTATACATTTGAAACAGTGTCATAGCACTTTAAACACACATGGCTTCCTCAAAATAATCCTGGAAACTGTAGTTTGTTAAGGGTACTAACAGCTGTTGGGGGACCTCTATTCCCCACAGAGCAACAATTATCAGAGAAGTTTAACAAGGATTCCCTCTTGCCAGGGCACTCTTGAAAATTGTGGCTTTGTGAGGAGACCGCTTCTCTGACAGTTCACTAGAGAATGGGAGGCAGGCGTATTCACACCTGCTCAGTGATCTTGTGGGTGGGTGTGTCACCACTTTCTCCTTCACCTGAAACATGTGCAGGGAGGAAAAGGTGTGAGTAACCTTTTCAAGTTGTATCAAGTAAATACACTCACCCTTGTGGATGGCAGGATCTAGAATCACTCTAGATCCCTGGTTCCCAATGTGGGGCACACGTCCCGGAGGGGGGCAATTTTATTTTTAATGGGGGAAATTCTAGAATGAGTTATTAACCGTGAATGGCCTTTTAGGCTGCCTCCGCGTGAATAGGAATTCACTTTTTGAATAATAAGAATTATATGTCATGGGGAGAGGGGGCAGGCATCAGGATTTTAGAGATGCTTAGGTGGGGGCATTGGGACGCAGGTGGCGCTGTGGGCTAAACCACAGAGCCTAGGACATGCTGATCAGAAGGTCGGCGGTTCGAATCCCTGTGACGGGGTGAGCTCCCATTGCTGGGTCCCTGCTCCTGCCAACCTAGCAGTTCGAAAGCACATAAAAGTGCAAGTAGATAAATAGGTACCACTCCGGTGGGAAGGTAAACGGCGTTTCTGTGTGCTGCTCTGGTTCACCAGAAGCAGCTTAGTCATGCTGGCCACATGACCCGGAAGCTGTACGCCAGCTCCCTCGGCCAATAAAGCGAGATGAGGGCCGCAACCCCAGAGTCGGTCACGACTGGACCTAATGGTCAGGGGTCCCTTTACCTTAGGTGGGGGCATGGCCAAAAAAAGGTTGGGAACCACTGCTCTAGATTGAAAGGAGCATGTTGAGGATAAGCATGAACGATTGCATATTGAGAAACACTTTTTAATGCTACAAACAGGTTAGCATGTATGTGGGCTAAGACAGCCAAAGATCACTTTTCCCCAGTGGAAAAGGGGAAAGGAAAGTTGTCATGAAAATGTTTAAGCAGAGCCAGCTTGCGGTTTGATAAGATAGTGAAATAAGCTTGATACCATCATTGTTAGCTTATGTTGCAGCATGATCTTAACAGTTCTTGATCCAGGCCTCCCCACCCACGTGTACGTGTTGTATCTTGTCTTCAATTTTAGCATAGACAAACCTGATGATCCAACTGCCTTATCATATATAATCTTTGCCTCACAGGAAAAAAGCAACAACACCTGATTCTGACTTGGGCTTTGAGGGGATGCCACAGTGCATTAAAAAAAAAAACTATTCGCTGCTTACAGGGGTGAGAGGTTGTGTCACCGGGTCAAGCAACTGCTGTGCCATGATTACATAAAACAGGGTCTGCTGGTCCTCTGGATGTGATATTAGGTGCTTAAGTTGTTCCTCTTTGGTGCAGAGATAGACTCTGAGAGCACTGGAGCAGGAGCACAATCTGGAAAAGCCAACTTTTCCTTTAAGAATCTTTCAGATTTAGCTGCCCTCACCCCCATTGACACGAGGTGGAATTAAGTTCCTCAACCCGAGGTTTTCAACCTTTTTTGTGGCACCCCTGTGGGGCTCAGGAACCCAGTTATGTCACCCTTTCCTACAGAGCTGGCAGCCTCACCCTTTTTCAAACATCCTCCTTTGTGGAGGCCTCCTCTCCCCTCTCTTTAGGAGTCCTGTCTCTGGTCTCTCAGCTGCCCCCCTGCCTAGAGAGAGAGGCACCATTCGCCTGGGGAGCTTGTAGCCTGGGCTGCTGCAACAAACAGCCCCGCAAGCCTTTGGGAGGCAGAGACACGAGAGGGCATCAGAGGAAGGAGGGAAGGAAGGAAGGAAAGAGGGACAGAGGCTAGTTTTGCCTGCAGCACCCCTGACCATCGTTCAAAACACTCCACGGCACACTGGTTGAAAACCACTGTCCTAAACTATAGAGAGAATGGCACTATCTGCTGGTTGGAGAATCTGTCCCAGGATTAATTTCACTTGAGTCTGTTAAAATGCTTATGACTCCAAGTTGGTGATTTTTAAAAAAGCAGGTGAATCCTACAACATGTTATTGACACAATAATAGTACATCAGTGGTGGATTTATGCTGGACCGTCCACTCATTTTCCCGCTTTATTAGTTGTTCAGTGATGCTTCCTCAATGTTACTGGATTATTACTGTCTAAAGGGGCACCCTTACACCACAGTGCAACACAAGTGGGGGAAAACAGCAACAGAACATTTGCGGCATGAAAAGGATTTCAGCAGGGACATGGACAGGACATGGACTGTTTGAAGCAAAACAGCATGACTGCCCCAGATCTTTTGCAGGCACAAACAGTATTGAAAGCAGGATCATGGATAACTGCTCCAACACAGTCAATGAGCACAAATAATTAGTAATGCACAGTACAAAAGACATCTGGAGAGGCCATGAGCATCACTGTTTGTATGGATGCAGTTCTTGAAATGCTTATCTGCAGACTTTGTTTTAGTTCACCATGCAGGAAGG